ATTCCTGCTCCCCGGCAGACTGCACACACAAATCAGCATCAAGGGTTTGCTACCGCTCAGGAGGTTGGTTGTCATTAATATTTTGCACTTTGGATCTAGAGAGGTGAGTGTGCTTCTACATGCAATGCCTTCTAGCAGAGCTCAGAAAGCATTTCCCCGCGTATATATTAGAGATGATTATGCAAAGACGCATGTTGGTACCCTGGCTTTTTGCATTAACGAGAATGTATCCAAAAAAATCAATTATGCTTGAGCAGTCCAGCTAAAAGCTGCATTCATTTCTGTAACGGACAGGAACATATCTGGACCTTCAGTCTTAAGAGCGAAACAAGTACGTAACAGGTCATTTGAGAATAAGAAAGGCTACACGTTCCAGTAAACAGAGTAACGAGAGCAATTAACCTATTAACCTGTAACACTGCTGTGACTCTAATGATTCTTAAAACAAGTGTGATGCTACCCCAAACAATGGAGGACTTAATCAACAGTTTCTAGTTCACAAGCATAGACAGCAATGACATCATTTGGGGAGAATAAACAGCCCGCTTTAGAGAAACTGTTTTCCTGGAAAATAGACCTCTGATGTGTCTTTCACCTGGTTTTAAAAGCACAGAAAGCAATGTGCCTGGTGTAAGAACTGCAAAGCAGTTGTGTTTGATTAGCAATGAGGAGCATTATGCTTATAATGTGTTTTGATCATGCAAGAATGCCTCTTCCTTTACTAAGTCTCCTTTCTCTAAACAGTTGTATGTAAAGCAGGTAAAAATCAGGTATTTACAGCCCTGTCTACTTACTAGGGGACTCCGGCACCACGTACCTGGAGGAATTCAAGTAAACTCCACATTGTTCTTCACGCACAGCCAGCCTACCCTATCTCCACGTGCAAGACTTTGCCTTGGCTCTGTCCTTCACCCAGCCCCGCTGCGACAGCACTCTCTCCATCTTTACCCAGCAGCCAGGACCAGTCTTGTTACAGAAACGTGTTCATTACAGGATCATTAGAAAGAACGGTCCTGAGAAGGGGCTGCAGGAGAAGTCAGCTGCACCTTCAGTAGGACAAGCTCTGCGCAAGACGGTTTGGATCCAACGCCAGACCTGCAGGCACCCACGTCCTTCGTTTGCCCTGGCCCTTCCTCCCTCGCTCGGCCGCAGCACTGAAGGAAGAGCAAATCCAGTCGCACCTGGTACACGCTTGGGAGCAGATGTGGTAAACTGGCACTTCATTTCTCTTACACTGCTTTGCAGGAAAAACTGGTGTGTTTGCAGCAAACATTTGTATCAAATGACAGGGATTCACGGGTAGATTATTCCAGAGTCGCAGAGAGAGGTTTTCTACCCAAGAGTGGGAGACAGCACATCAGGGCAGATTCTCTGCCTCACTGCAAACAGATTCTTTGATTCCAAGGTGGATATTTACATCTGAAGGTGTTACTGTGCCATGGGTGAATCCGGAATGACACCCAGCCCTACAATAGCTAGGCAGACTAGGGCTCTCCAGCCAGAAAGAGATGCTCTTGATGTCAGTAAAATCCTGAGTGGCACAGAAAAGGCAGATAAAAAGGGAATTGTTCTCTGCCTCTTAATTAATACAAGAACCAGAGAGCATCAAATGAAGCCAGGAGATGGTAGGTTGAAACAAAGGAACTTCACATGACAGTAGCTGAACTGTGGAAGTCATCTCTACAAGACGATATTAAGAAAACTGCATAGGTTTAACAAGCAGCCAAATTCATGGAAGATAAAAATTAATCAAGGACTACTAGAGACAACGACAGCACCTCTGGTACAGACGCTGCATGCCACCAGAGGCAAGGGGAGCATTTGTGATCAACTATCACGACGTATTTGCCCTCCTATAAACCTGTCGTCTGAGGTTTTGCGTTTGGCTTCTGGTCAAACGGCGCAACACAGCCCAAACCAAGCGGAGCTTCACAGCGGGTCTGCTGAGCTTTCCTCCTTCAGCGAGCTCGCCCGAAAAAGGCCAAGAAGCTTTTTTAACTCCAAACCGTTTTTATCAGAATGAAGAACTAGAAACTTAGAATGGTAGAAAGTTCAAGGTAGCAACAGAAGACAAGACAGTGAAACAGTCTGTCTGTAAATCTTCCACCTGCTTGTGCCCCAGCCAGCTCCACCTTGGAGGTCACCAAACCCTGCTGGTCCCTCCGTCCACAGGCGGGCTTTCCTGTGAGTCCTGGCTGGCTGCTCTTTGTAGGGGCTGCAGCTCCTGCCCCTCTCGTGCCCCCATCGCAGCCTGGAGCTCACCCACTGGGTCCCCTGGCAGGAGCAACCCCTTTCCCTCCAGGGGGACACCCTGGCCTGGCCACTCCTGAAGTGGCAGAAGGAGATTGGGAAAAAAAGAAGGAAAACTTAATGCTCTGTATCACAAATACTGCAGGGCTAAGCAGGGTCCAGACCTGACCCAGCACAGCAATTTTTATGCTCCTGTACATCCGACAGCCACTGCTGTCAGAACTAAGTTATGGATAAGGCCAGCCAGCACAGCAACGCAGGAGAAACAGCCACAAGAGCCAGCAGCTCCTGGGCTCCAGCTCCGTGCCATGGCCATATTGAAGAGCGGGTGGAAATCGGTGGCTTTGGTGGGAGAGACACCTCCCAAACTGAGGTGATCGGTCACAAACTGCCTCTCCAACATGCAGTAGCTACTGCTCCTCCACCTTTTGTCAGCGTTCTTCATCTCGACCTCGGAAAGCAAACAGTCAAGACGTGGATGGTCCTCTCTAAGCTGCCAATCATCAAGTCATGCTGTGAAATTTATTTACTGAACTCGGTTTGTAAGCAAAGGTTTGCTCAACTTCCATCCTCTACCTCAGCAGCTAGAAGACAAGGAAAGAGTTTTAACCTCACCTTAAGCATAAGAAAGGTTTCTTTCTTAAATTAATGATTTTCAGGGGAACTCAGTCATCTGAAATTAAATACTGGATCATTAGGAAACCTGGATTGGTAGAAAGTCATTATTACCCAGTGAAGGGGTGTTGGACTAGATGATCTCCAGAGGTCCCTTCCAACCCTAACCATTCTGTGATTCTGTGAAGACCCTCAGACCAGCTGTATCAAACTCTTCAACATTCACTCTGTTAAAATTAATCCTATTCACTAGCCCTGCGAAAGACGTGGGAGCAAATTAAGTGTAAATACACACATGCGAAAAACAATAAAGAAATCAAATTCAGCATTAAAAATCTACAGTGTCCTCATAAATAGGAGAAATATTTTTACTTAAAAAATATATCTCAAAGACAACCTTTTCCCCAACACGCTTCCAGTCAGCCTGAGCAGTAGGAGGTACCTGAAGCCGTGCTGCACACAGCCTGTCTATGCAGCTGTGCGAATTCAACTTCTGATCTGCAATCTCCAGTTTCTCCAGCAGCGTCGTTCTTTCTACCAGTAAATAAGCAATCTGTTCGCTGGCATTACTGTGAGCTATTTCGGACAAGCCTTCCTGTTCCAGCATCTCCTCCACCTCCTTCAGCTGTGCTTCTGCAAGACAAGGCTTTCTGTAAGCAGAGGAACAAATGAAGCCAAATTCCTTTGGGATCTGTGTCCTAGCTCCCCTAAACACTCCCCACCACAACAGCCCTGGAGCTCACCAACAGCTCAGAAAACATTTAATCTCTTCTCCAGCTTCCCACCGCCCTTGCTGCCCTCCTGTCCCCTGTTCTTATCTCAGCCCTGTTCCCACCGTCCCACTCTTTCTGGTCTGTCCCAATGTTTGTGCTCACATCCACTACCCTGCCAAGCAAGCGATGGGACCTGCTGCATCTAGATTGACTTCTTCTGCCTTGCTTTAAGCGGGAGATTTACTACCGTCATTTTCCCTTACCCAGCAGCTAAGCTTCGCCAACCTGGTTATCCACAACCCTTTTACCCCTTAATATGGTTTGGTGGAAATTAAACAACAGATTAAAAAGGCATTGAGAGAAACCAGACGGATGGACAATCACATAAACATCTTCTTTGGAAGAAGAGACACAAAATACTGTTATCACTCATATAAGCAGAACATCACTATTTTCCTAAGGACTGTCTGGCAGGGAGGTGGATCTGAGTATCTTATTTTTTCCCCATGCACAGCAGCACCTCTCTGGTGGAGATCGGGCTGTTGGATCCCATGTGATATGGTACGAAAGCACAGCGAGGAACCTGAAGCAGCTGGAGAAGCAGCAGCCGGTGGGCACAAAGGGACTCGGAGTACTTCTTAAAACATGACTTTAGAAATCACTCCCTGAACAGCGTTCCTGACCCATTCCTCCAAAACCAGCTATAAACCCAGGCTAAGGACTGCTCCTGGGGACACAGACCTGTTGTTTGAAGGTCTCCTGCAGAATTAAAGGAGCAAAAAATCCTTTTAGAATTAAACTGACAATTCTTCACCATTTACCCCAAAATTACAGTTAGAAAGACTTTGCACTGGGAAAAAAAAAAAAAAAGATTCAATGGCCTCCAATGTAAACAGATGACAACCACATTTGCAAGAGAAGTTGGTTTATGGCTAGGCACCATTGTGTTTGTGCAACAAACAGTTGTTAAAAAAAGCCCCTTGTTGACATGGTTGGAAATTTATCTGCCGGGAGAATACGAGGAACCCTTGGTCTCCTGCGTGGTCAGGGCAGCAACACCTGCACTGGATCCAACAGCTTGTTAAGCTACAGAAGGGTTTTTCAAAACCTCCCTGTTTGATTCATATTAAAAAGAAAACCAACAAACCCTGCTCACAATTTCTAGCCCAAACTAGTTATAAAGGTTTCCAAATGCTGTAGGATGTAAACCAGGGGGAGCTGTGGGTTCTGTATGCGGGAAGGAGGGATATTCACTCTCTTTCACTGCTTAGGGAGCCAGAGTTAGACATCTGAAGTTAAGCAGAGCAAATACTCCTCATCCTCTTACACAGGATACATACACAGCTCTGGACAAGTCTGTTCCTCACTTCCATACACTGGATTTAACAGGGGACCCAGTGCAATCACATCCTAAGGCTCAAATCAATCGCATGTTTCCACTCTGCATTTTGCAGCCAGTTCTGTCCAGCCCCATGGATGGAAAACACCCTGCGGTTTCCCGTTCGCCTTCCCCTGTGGTTACGAATTACAGCGTGTTCAATGAAGAGGTCAAACATGGCTGACTTGCCGCTTTCCTGCGTGAAGCGGAGCAAAATACTGTGTTTTGCAGTTTAAAAACAGCTGGCCGCTTGCTCCCCATGCTCCATTATGAAGAGCCCACAGCTCATACTCAACTGATCACCCCCCTTGCCTCCAACCTGCCTTGCAATTTCCTCCCACACTTTTGCCAAATCCCATGTAAAATAAGGTGAAAGCTGCTCTGCTTTATGGCCAGAAACAGGACAACCATCTCCCTTTAGGACCAATGCTCCCATCTCATATGGTGTCTCCTACACTGATAGTTTTGCTTGCAAGTACTTCCCCTACAACACTATACTAAGCAGTATAGTTTGGGTAACAGGATCTGGAAATTTTCCACAGGTTGAAGAGGAAAAAAGATTTGGGAGAGTGAAGGGAGCCTGCCATACACAGCACAGGTTACCTGCTTGTAAAAGCCCATTCATTTCTTATGAGTATCTCAAACACCTTCCCTACCATGTCTGATATGTCCTATTTGAGAAGGGCCAACACTTGGTACAAGCAATGTTATACCACCGCACTGATGTGTTCCCGCCAGCAAGCATCTCCAGCACCACCTCTGCACTCGCTTCTTTGGAAGCCAGTTTTATATTTGCAAAGGTGTCTTACCCCAGGGAGTTTCTCAGAAATAAGCAGTTCACCGGTATCCTCACACCCACCACAGAAGCTGCATCCTCTCCTCCATGCTGGGTACGTTGAAGAAGTACAGCTGTTACAATAAACAAGCTCAGCCTACCACTGTTTATTCTTTTTGTTTCACTTTTTAAGCAAATCGAGGCAAGCCCTCAACAGCGGTGTGTTTTACTGCTGTTACATTTGTTTTTCAGAAAGCCTTGTGGTAATGCAGCGCATGAGTTATCGATCTGCCCTCCAAAAACACCAATGCGTATTCGACAAGAACCATCGGAAACGGATTATGAACTGCCTCGAGGAAAGGAAAAATTTCACTCTGGACAGAGGTACCAAATGAGGTAAAGCTCAGATCAACAGCCTGACATAAAACCAGTGGTGGCTGCTCTCCGCAGTAACCCTTCCAGCCCCTTCCAGGCAAGAAGTAAATGTGCAAGCAGAAACTTAATTTTTATCACCAGAAACAGCTTTCAGCAGATCTAATTGCTCCCAGCGATCCTCAGATCAAGCACAACTTCTGATCTGTTTAGCTGCTTTAGGAAGAGGGAGAGCACTCAGCCCTGAGAGCCCACCAAAGTGACCTCCTGCATTAACCCAAGCCTTTGCCTCTTCCCATCTCTCAACTCCCCGGAGCTGGGACTCCCAATTCACACTACGAGCACCTCACCATTCCAGGTCAGGCTCCTCCTTTGAGCCACAGGCTCGAACCAGCCTCTGTCCTCAACTGTCCTTTCCCATCTCAACTTGTTACCACTTCAAGCCTCCCAAAAGCTCCCTACCACCAGCCTCTCTTCTTGCCTTGCCTGCATTTTTAACAATCCCAGTAGAATGGGGTCTGCCTTTCCACGAGACCCTTCTCCAGCCCCCGCTGCAGTATCATCTCATCCCTACAAAAGATGACAAGCTGCCCCACAAAAATAAGAGGGGGAGTAAGATCCAGAGGACAACCAACTTCCAGTTCAAGACCTTCAGCCTGCCCTACACCCCACAGGGCTCAGGAGGCATCTCTGCATTAGTTTACACAAACTCAAATGAAATCCCATGCACAAATTCAGGCTGGGTGGAGAATGGCTGGAGAGCAGCCCTGAGGAGAAGGACTCGGCAGTGTTCGTTGATGAGAAACTCAACATGAGCTGGCAACGTGCACTCGCAGCCCAGAAGGCCAACCGTATCCTGAGCAGCATCAACAGAAGCGTGGCCAGCAGGGCGAGGGAGGGGATTCTGCCCCTCTATTCTGCTCTGGTGAGACCCCACTGGATTACTGTGTCCAGTTCTGGAGCCCTCAACATAAGAAGGACACGGACCTGTTGGAGTGGGTCCAGAGGAGGGCCACGAAGATGATCTGATGGCTGGAGGCCCTCTGCTGTGAGGACAGGCTGAGAGAGTTGGGGTTGTTCAGCCTGGAGAAGAGCAGGCTCCAGAGAAACCTTAGAGTCCCTTCCAGTAGCTGAAGGAGGCCTACAAGAATCACAGAGTCATAGAATGGTTTGGGCTGGAAGGGCCCTTGAAGATCATCCAGTTCCAACCCCTTCCCTGGGCAGGGACACCTCCCACCAGCCCAGGTTGCTCCAAGCCCCGTCCAACCTGGCCTTGAACACCTCCAGGGATGGGGCAGGCACAGCTTCTCTGGGCAACCTGCCCCAGGGGATCACCACCCAGAGTGAAACATTTCTTCCTAATATCTCATCTAAATCTCCCCTCTTCCAGTTTAAAGCAATTCCCCCTCATCCTATCACTTCGTGTGCTAGTAAAAAGTCCCTCTCCAGCTTTCTTGTAGGTGCCCTTCAGATACTGGAAGGGGCTCTAAGGTCTCCCCGGAGCCTTCTCTTCTCCAGGCTGAACAACGTCAACTCTCTCAGCCTGTCCTCCAGCAGAGGGGCTCCAGCCCTCGGAGCATCTTTGTGGCCCTCTGACCTGCTCCAACAGAAAGCTGGAGAGGGACTTTTTACAAGGGAATGTAGTGATAGGATGAGGGGGAATGGCTTTAAAGTGGAAGAGGGGAGATTTAGATGAGATATTAGGAAGAAATTCTTCCCTGTGCGGGTGGTGAGCCCCTGGGGCAGGTTGCCCCGAGAAGCTGTGGCTGCCCCATCCCTGGAGGTGTTCAAGGCCAGGTTGGACGGGGCTTGGAGCAACCTGGGCTGGTGGGAGGTGTCCCTTCCCAGGGCAGGGGGGTTGGAACTGGATGAGCTTTAAGGTCCCTTCCAACCCACACCATTCTGTGATTCTATGAAAAGCAGAGGCTCAGGGAACAGACACAGCGATGCAGCATCGAACCCCGCAGCAGAGGTTACATTAGAGCCCCGGAGCAGGCAAAGGCCTGACACAGGTCTTTGAGAAAGTGCAGCAGCAGCAGAGATGGGCAGTGGTTTTTTTCAGTTAAGAGGCTGACCTGCGAAGCAAAAGGCCAGTGCCTCAAGAAAATTATCTACAAGCATCCCAAAACACACCAGGGCTGGCACTCCTCCCTGCAAAGGACAGCTGGGTGGAAGGCAGGGCTTCATCCACTGCCTAGATCACTAAATTAGGAACACATATCGCAGGACCACAGCTAATGCCATCAATAAGGCAATAACAAGTCTTCAAGAACAAAGTCTGACAGCCATATCCTAAAGAAAACTCCTCCAGAAAGCTGCACAGAAGCACCGTATGGCACCAAAGCACTGCAGAACCACAAAACCCCCTCAGGGATGGCTGGCTCGCAATTAGCAACGCAGCAGGGTAATGGACACGGATCTCTGTTTCCATTCCAGTGTTAATCGTTGCTCAACAGCCACAAAAATCCCTAAAAAATGGAAAAAGTCCAAAGGAGTAGAGCCACTACAAGGAAATAAACGCAAAGCCAGCTTTTGGGACATTTTTGTCGTTCGTCTGCCACCTCGTGGGGAAGATGAGAGAAGAACCAGCAATAAAGTTTTCCGCTACAGCAACGCTCGTGAAGGCTCATTAGTCATTTAAGCCCTTGCGTACCAGCATTTTCAACACTGAACGATGAATTTACATGCCCAGAGGAACCAGATTTTCAGGCACTGCTTAAGCACACCCATCTTTGAAAAGTCTCTGCCATCAGCGGTGCTCCCTGAAACCTGCAGGCTGGCCAAAACTGAACAGAGACTCAAAACTGCACTTAATTTCCCCAAATTTCTACATTTGCTGCCCCAAACAGAGCATGCTAACAAAGAAACAATTCACGCTGTGCTACCACCCCCAATTTTACCTTAGGCCCAGGATCAGACATGCCACGAAAGGAGAAGTTAACAGTAACAGTGTGCTGCTATTAGCAGTACCCAAAGCACAACAGAAGACTAGGAAGACTAAAGAAAATCAAGAACAAAACCCAGCAAAATATATTTGCTCTTCCTGGAACCGATTGCAGGGTTTGAGAAGAGAGCAAATAATTTGAAGTGAAATAATTTGTTTTAAACAAAACGACTACAGTAAAATAAGCACACGGGACAAGTTTTGAATCACCATCACAGATGTACCACTATCCTTCAAAGTTGTTTTAAAAAGCATGGATTTTGTCTAAACCAAAGCCAACGGTAAATTCAAACAGGAGCACAGCTTGACATTCAGTTACCTAAGGAGTCACTGTCAATTAATTTAGAGTCGGAAAACAAACAGCAGCATCAATTCTGTTCTTCAGACAGCCTCTGGAAGGTGCTTAGTGCAACAATGGAGCTACATGAAGTGAGAAACTGCACGATTCACTGAATACAGGCAGTAAAAGCAGACAAGAACCTCTAAGTCAATTACAAATCAGTTCTAAAATTTCATTAACGCTTCTGCCAACCTCTCAACAATGTACCATGCACGCTGCTCGAGCAGAACTCACTGAGAAACGCTGCTCTGCTCTCAAATCAGGTTTAAACCAGCTCTGCTGAAAGACCCGTACACCACTACCTGCCCATGCTTCTCCTCAGACCGTGTTTCGGAGGGGAAGGATTACCCTGCTGCAGCTGCAGCCGCATCAGCTCAAGCCTCAGCTGTTCATTTTCTTTTTCATATTCGGCGGTGATAGCGTCCCGTTCCTCCGTCAGGCTGCGGACGTGACCCACGTAGCTTTCCACCTAGAAATAAATCACAGAATCATCTAGGTTGGAAGGGACCTTTAAGATCATCAAGTCCAACCATCAATCTAACACTGCCAAAGCCACCACCAAACCACGTCCCTCAGAACCACGTCTGCCCATCTTTTAAAACACCTCCAGGGACGGCAGCTCCACCACTGCCCTGGAAAAACACCGCTATACCCGAACGTGTTGATCAATGCCTGCCCAGCCAGTTGTTGGCACAAGTCCCTCTCTAGCCCCCTACATTTACAGGATGACCGCAAACATTTGTAAGACACCAATTCTTTGTGCCTTTGTGCCATCTGGGGATGGTTAAAACTTGACTGAAAGGTCTGGAGGACGGGAGGGGATGGAGGTGCTGGGACGTGGGGGACTCTCGACCCCAGCCCTATGGGAGACACCGGGCTTTTCGGTGCCCGAAGGCGAGGAACCGGGCCGCACAACCGGCACTTCCCGAGGGCAAGGGGGAAAAAGCAGCTTTCGGCTGTCAACACCCGTGAATGTGCTGCTGGCAAAAGGGCGGGGGAAGGCGTGTTTGGGCCCGGCTGGGCTAAAAAAGAGCAGAGGGGTCACTCCGGCCCTTACGTCTCTCATCTCCTCGGCCCTCCGCCGCTCCA